TCTCTCTCTCTCTCTCTCTCTTTCTCTATCTCTCTATCTTCAAAAAATACGTACCTCTCTATACCTTATGGCAATTAAATGTATCCAACACGATATTTTCGATCGACAATTCGTTTCGGGAAATCGAGAACGAACGCTATCCGCGTACGACTATCGTTTTATTCGATTCGAGCTCATCAAACGAATCACGCATAGACACGCATCATCGAAGGATCATTCTAATTGTAATCACGATCATTATCATCGCCTCGATACAAGTATAGGGAATTCACAGTCATCGTCATGTCGCGTAATTAATAAAAAAATAAATTCTAAAATGGAAAAAGAAGATATCACTATCATTGACTATCAAAAAAAATGGAAAAACGAAGAAAAAAACATGAGAATAAGAGGAGAAGGAGAGGAAAATAATATATTCGTATAATAATGCTCGCGTGACGATCGGCTTTTGGAACCGTCGCGCGATCGATTAATTATTGTAACGTGGACGATAAAAAACGATCGATTTTTCCGTCGACGTTACGAAAAAATCCCAAGCGAGCGTCGTTATTCAAGAGCAAGCCAACGAGATTCTATTTGGAACATTTTAGCCAACTATTTTACGTTCTTTCGTTTTTCCTTGGAATAGAATCTTGGTGTGCGCGTGTATCTTGAAACGAGAACAAGTTCTAAAAGGAGTGAGGAGAGAAAGAAAAAAAAACTGAACGACGCGTTTCGTTATATTCGACGAGTCCACGTGTCATTTTTAGAGCGTACGAAAGGACAAAACACTTTGTATGCCCCTCCCCCCCCCCCCTCCCTCCCCCATTGTTCATGCCCATTTGTATTGCGTAGATGGACCGATCGATAATTATAAACGAACGTGAAAATACTATCATATATATATATATTATATATATAAATATAAATATATATTATATATATATATATAAATATATATATAAAAAAGCGACAGAATGAAACACTACTGTAACTACACCTGCCTCTTGTGAATAAATGCCTATTTGTTTCTTTTCAATCTCGTTGTTACTTATACATCGATCGAACTTTTAAAAATTCGAAAAAAAAAAAAGGATAATTACCTAATGGATCTAACTTAGCGGATATCATTTATTAGGAGACAATATAGATCCGTAAAACAGATTTTTATTAAATAAATATGTTGTCATAATCGTTCAAATGGAATCATACAACTATCATACAATCTCGACGAATACAAATCGTCGATTACTAATTTACAAAGAAGGCTACTTGCGCGCGCGCAAATTGCGAGCACATATGCTGCGCAAGCGCGTTAAGTGATCCGCGAGCAACCGCTTCGTTGTTACTTAACACCGATCGTTAATTAAAGCTAAGCGTTCAGACTGGTTATGAAGAGAAAGAATGTCGAGGAACATCGTTGCGGTTGACCGACGTAAACGCGGGTGAAAAAATTTTTCTAGCATGTTATTGCACTGTCGTTGTGTAAAAGAATGTTAGAATTCACAGATTTGTGATTTCCATCGCTAACTGAACAACGTCTTATCTTCTTACAATTTTCGAATTGTGTTAAATGGAATTTCCTGGTCCATTTGGACGGACGGACGGACGGTTGATAATGAATGGTAATGAACGGTTTAAATTAAATAAAGAAAAAATATAAGCTTAAAATTCTCTTTCAAATTTCCAAAGTTCAATTTCATTTTCTTTTTAGTCGATTATATTATCGCCAATAACGATAGTGCCATCTTATATAAAAATTTATCGTAACAATGATAAAATGTACATATATATACTATATATATATATATCCATATCACAATCAACGATAAAAGAAATTTTATTCTCGTAAAATCTAACGTAAGACACACGATTCTATCACAAACGTTTTAATATATTTACAGCCACGAATTAAAAAGGATAGACTCCGTTTAGGCCGTGCCATTGCATCTCGCCCGATAAAAAAGAAACGGGAACGAGAATGCCGACTATAGTTTCGCTTAAACGTATCGCTCGGAATAATGATAAGTTTGTACCCGCGAATCCGGAGATCTTTACGAGAAGACGCCACTAGAGATCGTTCTTACCGTGGTAACAAGTCGTTCCACGATTACGGGAATGACGAGACGTTCACCCAAAGGGAAAAGAAACGTTCGCTAAGGTATACTAAGTAATCGTTTAAGTTTGCCGACTGGCGCTATTCTTCTTTTCTCGATCGTATGAACAATCCAAGAAGAAGAAACTTTCTTTCGTTGTNTTCGAACACATACCGTGACATTTTACTTTTCGAGATTTAAATAAAATAAAAAAAAAAAAAAAGTAAAGCGATATATCTATCAAATATATATCTGTCAAATACATTTAGGAAACATAATGCGAGAAAATCTACCCAAAGGAAGAAAAAAAAAAAAGTAAAGCGATATATCTATCAAATATATATCTGTCAAATACATTTAGGAAACATAATGCGAGAAAATCTACGCTAAGGAAGATAAAAGTCTCGAGATCGAAACACGATCTCGCGATCTTGCCAAGTAAGAGACGAGTTTTCTCATAAACTTGTCAGTTGATACAAATCGTCGTGAAAAACGATGCACGCAAAGCGCCTTTTATGGCGTGTTGCCGCTCGACTACGGATCCAATCTATCCGTTTCCAAACACGACGAAGAAATGAGCGGACGAATGGTCCCTGATACGCTAGCGCTACGATGAAAAGTATTGGAAAAGATCCCTTTTCGAGCGCAGTCTTCTTCTCTCACCGTGCAACGGCCTTTCTTTATTTCCATTTCGCGCGACAAATTTTTACGCGAATAGTCATTTTCGTCAAAAGAGGCCGAACATCTTTTTCGACGAGCCGGTACTCCGTTTTTTCCTAGCTGGCGCCACAATTTCTGAATTTTCAGAGTTCGTAGCAGTGATAGAGCTCGTGACAGGCATCAACTTGCTTCGAACGTGTTCGTCGAGAAGAGATTGCATGTCCATCTGCCATTGTTCCAACTGTTGACTCAGTTCGATCTTCTGTTGGATAGCTTCCATCAGTTGGCTGTTAGCCTGCAGGACGTCTATCCTCGTTTTCGCCAACTCCACCTCGGCCCTGTTCTTCCTGGCCACAGCTTGATCCCTGACCTTGTAAGCCTGCGTCAAAATTTCGTCCTTCGTCAACTGCGAGTGCTCCATATCGTCACGAGCTCTATCGCGTTCCTCCTTAACACCGCGCAATTCGGCCTCGCTCACGCTCAACTTGCTCGTCACATCGAGCAAAGCCTCTCCACGCCTTTTAAGTTCCTCTTGCGTCTGCTTCTGTTGATCCTTCGCGTTCTCCAATTCTTCCCGCACCCTGTGAAGTTCCACGGCCAAACCTAGCTCGCCGGGTGCCCCTCTGCCGGATAGAGCCAAGTTGTATACCTCCTCGACTATGTCCAACAAAGCACCGGGACAATTGGTCTGCAAGAAAAAAAAAGAAAAAAATGAATAAATAAATAAAAGAACCGCTCGTACAAAGAGCATATGGCGAACCACTCGTGAGCATAATGCGCATTGAAACTCGGATCGATCGTGGAGAGATATCTCTGTCTCGCGGCAAATTGCAACGAATCTTATCAGAGCAGTGCAAATGAAAGCGACCGTGTAAACGAAATAAAAATACAAAAGCAAATATAAAGCGTTTTATAACGCTCGGGGGCTTGACTATCTGAAAAACACGCTCGATTCGTTATCTACGATCAGAGCGGGTGTTCCGATCGGTGAACCGAGCACGTCTCATCGAGTTTTCGTGGGCGTTCGACAGAGGTTCCCTGTAATGCGTTGCCGGAAACCGGAAGTCGGAACAAAAGGAGCGTGTTACGCGAGTCCCTTACCGAGCTGGGGAGAGTCTCTTGGCCGTTGGTGTTCGCCTCCTCCGCTTCCGCAGTGTTGTTGTTCACGATCACGAGCATGGACTCGTCGCAATCGCTCTGCAAACCCGAGTCGTCCTCTCCCCGCCTCAGATGGACGCACAACTCCTTCAACCGCTTCACCGCCCTCGCCACCTCTGCACGCAAATCCTCCTGTTCCCCCAACGAACTTCCGCTCTCCTCGCACTCCATCTCGGCCTGCAGGGACCTCGGTGGTTTCTGTATCGAGCCGGATCTGCCTCTCCTTTCCGCCTCGATGACCGCCAATGTCGCCGCCAGTTCGTCCCTGTGGATACGATCCATTAATGATCGAAACGTCGATCGTCCGCGTGATAAATCCGTTCTCTAAAAACCGAGCCAACGGATTCGATCGATCCGCCCTTACGTTTACACACCGATGTTTACCGCATACGGCGAACGATAAGCTCTCGTAAGCCGACGAAAGAGACAAACAAACGCGATTAGCTTAGAGAAAAATCGATCGTCCCCCCACGACGAAGGTATAATCTATCTTCCTCTGTTTCCTGGGAATATATTTCCTAGTACACGAATATTTTTATCCTCGCAAATGACGGAGAAAAACTGTCGCTTGGAAATAAAAAGAAAAAATGCTCGCTGGATCATTATGAAACGAGATATGTATTCGAACGGATATCCAACTACTGTATACAAATATCGTGCATAAATTACACGGTAAATACTTCTAGAGGATATTAAGTGACAAAAATATTAAGCCTCACCTTTCCCTTTCGGCTAGCTTCGCCCGGTGTTCCGCTTCGTGACCGAGCCGCTCCAAGGCCGTGGCTCTATCCTCGGCTTCTTCGAGGGCCGCCATCGCTCTCGCCCTCTCCTCCCGCAGCTCCAAGGACCTCCTCTCTAATTCTGCTCTTTGCGCGGACACTAGCTGTACCTGGAACACGCCAAAAACCCGTTGCGTTTATGCGACTCACCTCTTATTCGATTTCCCTATTACGTATATCGAGCTCTGCCAATCACCTTACCCGTTCTGTTCATAATTCCGCGTATCTCTACTGCACACGTATTCGCTGACGCTGCGCCACAGCGTCGTACACGTGACACGGCCTTAGAGCGCGTGCTTCCGGTTCTTTCGTAAGAAGAAACTGAACTGCGTGGCGCACGTACGTAATCGACGACGGTGTGGGATTCAATAGTATGTTAATTAACGGAATAGAGGTTTTGGGAACGGCTGGTGGCTCGATATCGGTAGCGTCACGTGTGCCTCTCCTTTCTGTATATACTTTCGACCTTGTAATAGATACGTGAAAGGGAATAACGAATCCTTCCGTTTGGAGAAAAAGACTTTTTAACTTCCTACGAGGCGAGAGATTGAAGAATTGCAAGGTCATCTCTCTTCTCGACGCGATCCAATTTTCCTCGCGAGAATCGATATCAATCGACACGAATCGATAACGCGGGTAACGAGTAGACGTTTTACGTCCAATGAGAATTGGCGAGCGAAGGGCATTTCCTGAAATTCGAGTTCGCGCCGCGTAAGAAGAGACGAAAGGGCGCAGGAGCGAAGGACGAGGGAAGTTAAGTCGATCGCCGAGGGTCACGACTCGTTGTTATACGTTACTGCTCCCGTGACGACGGTGCATCGCGATCAACTTCTCACGATCGAATCGAATTAAGCGTACACGGTTCATTGATAATCGCGAGAATCATGCATATTCATATACACGTTCCTTTATAACCGCCGGCGAACAATATCCATTAACCATAATTGGAACGGTAGAACGAGCAACACGGTTCCCAGAATAATTATTTATCCACGACGATTCGTTAACGATCTTGGGCAAAAAAGAAAAAAATAAACAAACGAGGTTCGCGGTCGGGATAATCAATCGTTGGACACGGATACACGTCAAAGTTAAGGGGAGGGTGGTTGCGTAATGAATGGCGGAGAACGGAAGGGAAACGGAACGATTGCGAGAGAGTGGATCCGCCGCTTAACCACGCTGCCAAGGAAACTATTAATTTACCTCGTCCCTGAGAACCTCCAAGCTACTGACGTGATCCTGGAGCGTGGTACTTCGGAGGGCACACTTTTCCCTCAGCACCTTGACCTCGATGAGCAGCTGCTCTTCCTGCTTCGCGGCTTCTCTCAGCTGATCGGCAAGCCTCGTGTTTTGCGCTGTGAGCTCGGCGACCAGGCTCGCCTGATCTCGTTCCGCTCGTCTCGCGCGCTCATTCTGCTCCTCCAATTGACTCCTCAGCGTCTCCACATCCGCCTGCAGCTCTAAATTTCTCGCCTCGTTTTCGCTTATCACCTCCTCGAGCCTTCGACGGAGTAGATGCCTCTCTTGTTCCAGACTCTGCGACACAACAAACAACGGGAACGTTAAGACTATTATACGGGATCGATGAAAGCCAATTAGCAGGATATCCCGGTGTTTCGTCGTCGAAACTTTCTTTTTTTTTCTTTTTTTGTGTCACGTGTCGAAACACTGGAGTGCAAGTTTACGCTATACGTATCCACTAATTATCTCGGATACCTCGATACATCATTTCGTATATATCGACAAAAAATACTACTGTACTTTCTCGAAAGCGGCTGTTTATTCACGCAGGTTGATTCACGTAATAACGGAGAGAATATACGGAGGTTTTTTTGTGCAACTTATGGTTTCTTGCATATTTTCTTCATTATTCACTCTTTTTATCTAAATCAGTGTTTTTTCCTCATCTTTTTCCTACATTTTCTCAAAATCTCTTTTTCCTCGTTATAACGATCAATCGAATTTTAATTATATCGATGATCAGATGACGAATACAACAAGGTTATTTTCTTAAATAAAATTGCCTGTGCCGAAATATTCAAATTATTCCTCCTCCGTGAAACGTTCACCGCAAGTTGGGAGACACTGAGTTAAACTCTCACGGACGTGGAGCTTCCAACTCCAGGAGACCAAGGGAAGAAAAAGGCATAAAAGCCTCGACGATATTGAAATGATAAAAAGGAAAGAAAGAAGGAAACAAACTGCGACGGCGGTCTACCTCAACGCCTGTTTGTAAAATCGACGACTGGAATCGCTTGGTTACCTTCGACCTCGAAACATCTCGATCGACCTACGAAGGCTATCCGCAAACGTCCCTGAATGGAATATCGAGAGAGAGAGAGAGAAAGAAAAAAAAACAGGATTCTGTGACGGCGTCTCCTTTCTCGAAATTCTCGTCTCGTTTCACCGGGTCCGCGTCATTCGTCGAATTTTAAAAAGATTGGCGATGATTCACCGTCTGAACGAAACTCTCTCGCCTACTTCTCTCAGGTTCACCACTGCATGACTGCGGTGTGACTCGAGACCTACGAGGAGATCCGTAGGTGAAAGGACGATGTTTGGCTGTTTCGTAACGGAGCAAAATCTTCAACACTTTCATCATCGCGGACGTCGAAATCGTTGTCACGAACCTTTTCTTTCCTCCAATTACTTGATAATTCGATAATTTTCTCCGAGAGATTAAATTGTAACCACGAAATCGTATTATAATCGAAATCATTCTACTTTAACGATAAAGTAATCTGATTTATCGATTGGCTTCCACCTAAAATCGATAACGAATTAATTAAACGCGACGCATTTTGATCGATTTCCCAGCAATTACGAGCCATAATTCGAATTTTAATTACATTATAATTATCGTCAATAGATGTTCGATGCGCTTGCGTTTTTAGGAAAAAAATTTTAATTCGATTGGATCCGCGCAACGGTGGTATACAGTTTTGCGGTACAAAACGCGATTGAGAAGGTAGCCGTAATGCAGGCCTGTACGTAACAATCGCACGGTTCGATGTCAGTGGGGTTTATCGAGCTAGAAGGTACGGCCTTGGTCTCCCGTGGTTATTCATCGACCTATCGTCCGTACAGCCACGTTACTGCTCGATCGTTCAAAAATTGTCAGAGACTGGGGAATTATTATCGCCAGAATCAAGTCGTTAAATCTATCTTCGTAATCATCAATTCGCACGTGTTAAATTTATAAAAACGATGTCGATCGTTTCGCGAACATTAATTGAGACTTTAATCTCAATTGTATCCATATCGAATATCTCAAAGTATTTTTTCTCTTTCTTTTTAACACACGTTGATATATATATATATATATAATGGATTAACGATCAATACAACTCGACACAATTCAATTCGTACCTGGAAATTTGACAAGCATTCCATGGAATGTTTGATACAGTAATGTCGCTGTGAATGCCATTTTAACAATACCCATTAGAGGCTATGTAACATACACAACAATTTTATTGTCCTCTCTTGTGAAATAACCTTTATCTTTTCCGGTTTTAACTTAAACGGTCGAAGCCCCACCGATTATATCCGCCTCGAGGTGGCTAAACTCTCTTCTCGAATGCGCAAAGAAAAAGAGAGAGAAAAAAAGGAAAGAAGTGGAAAGACGAGATAAGTGCATGCGCGGAGAGGATACGGCAAAAGGGACAAAGCACGGACGGGACTGAAAGGCAAACACGTGTGTGATGCATATAGGAGACGCGTGTGCACGTTTTTTTTCATAAGGTATGTAACAACGGCCGGAGGCAACTAGACGGAGATCCATGACTCACGGATCTCCATCCCGTTCCCTGCGAGTGTTGCTCCGATTGCGCTGCTTTTCGTCGATCACGTTATTAATAAACGTTTTATTTGCTTTCGCGTTGAATTTCATTTTCTAAAATATTTTTATTTTTAGCCGAAAATATTCTTCGCTTTTTTCAGTAGTCTTCAAGAATTTTTCCCGCTCCAGATACGCTATATTATGTACATTTAATATTGTATCTTATCGTAATTCTTTTTGTATATGATATTAAGAGATCGATAACATTGATATCCAACGAGTACGCAATTTATTAATATCGCTTGGGATGAATCATAGATAAACGGGAATTACAAGTTTTATTAGTTATCCATCTTGCAAATTTAAACATCTATTACTTTCGATTAATTCTATCTGTTTGATTGCAAACTACACGTGTACTATTATTATCCACGAGCATACCGGCATGGATAATTGCAAACACCTTGTCTATCATTGTGAAAACGTACACGTGACACGTGTGTACGTTGAATCACGAACCACGTTCGACGTTTCAATCCTTCCCGATAGACGTTTCTAATGTTAACTAATGTCGTTATTGATGAGATACCATCCTTGAGAAATATTTTTATTGAAACATAAAATTAATTGACAGGAGACGCAAGAATGATTGCTTCGTCTCTTAAACACGTTGCATCTTATGTGAAACATTTTTAATCGATTGGAAAATTCTGATTAAAACGATCGAAACTTGCGTGTAAAACTTGCAAGAGTGTACGACAGAGTCTTATCGATAATCCATCTCGATCGATTAAAACGATCCAAGATTTCGTTTCAAAAAATTCGATTTCGAATTTCTAGATAACTTTGTCGAACAAATTTTGTCTCTCCGAGGTATAAATAACCCGAAGTTACAAGTAATATCATCCACGAAAAGATATTCTAATTATATACTCCATGGCCAAGCAATACATCTTCCGGCACACTTTATCGGACTTCTAATTTAATGGCTGAGCTCCTGTCGCTTTCTGCTCGAAGAAACAGACATCCGCTCCGATGGAAAAGGAAATAACCGAAACGAGGAAGCAGAGCGAACAGTGACTGGTACGAATGGACGCGAATCTTCGATTTATCGTACCTCCACCCGAGGTATCACGTGCTCATCGTTT